CCCAAAAATCATTCCTACCCTTGTCCAGCACACCACTGGATTTTGAGCCTGATCCACTGCTGCCTCTGGAAAGACGCCCCCAGCCTTCAAAATAGCTCTTAGCAACAGTCTGTGTCTCCTCATCCCAGAAGACTTTTTTTTCTCACTAACTTATGTGCAACAAGTTTATTCTTGAACACCAGACGACCAGTATTAACACTCAGGGAGACAAAAACCTAGATGTGGGACTTGCCTGCACACACATTTCTCATCACTCCACATGGTACTCGCCTGGTGGGCACCTCTTTCTGCTTCCAGCACCAATATGTCTCAACACTAAGACCAACCTTTCCATACCAAAGTGAGAACTCAGATCACCTCCCCCCCAAAAAGAAAAAAAAAACCAAAACAAAGACACTCCCCCATAGATCCAGCCATCCCACAGAGGGAACAAGTGCTTGGAGAATATATAAGCAGTTATTCTAGGGCCACCTTCAGCTGTGCCCTGACTCCCTTGGCCCTCAGGCCAATGTGCAGATGCTCCCTCAGGGACCACCCAGACTCAGGGAGGATGAGGGGACAAGGACATGAAAACACGCCAGCCTCCCAGAGCACATACCGAATTGCTCCTTAAACAAGGGGGCCTGGATCACAGACACAAGCCCATGTTGTTTCAACCTCTAACTGCAGCCTTTTTAGGGGAGTTGCTGTTAGGCAAAGGTGTGGGTGTAAATGTCCTGTCCTCTTGCTCCTTCTTCGAAGCTCTCAGATACCTGGAACAAGCTGTTGGGAACTCAGAACAAACCAACTTTCGAAGATCATGCTGAAAATGCTCTGCAGGGCATAGCATTGGTCTCCCCTATCCCCATCTCAGTATCTTTAACCACAGAATAATCCTGTTTCCCTGGCAGGAGGTGCTGATTTTAGCACCCATTTAGCAGCATTCCTGGCCCATGTACTGCATCTTACCCAGAAATGCTGTCATTACAGATAACGCTGGATAGCGTTACCTGCCCTGAGGTTGACTGACATTTCCATTTACAAGAACCTACCTTCTAGTGCGAGTGCAACTTTGTTCAGCTTGAACTGAGGTGAGATTTTCCATGCCAGATGTTCTTCCATTACAAGACTTTCCCTCTTAATGCACAGCACCTGCAAATAAATAGGCCATTGCAAAGGCAATTTAAATAAAGGTTTGACCTTTCAGCCATGAGTTTTCTGGCTTTGGTTAGCTCCAGCTACTGTCTTAATCACATCTTATTATTTCATGCTCTGTGTGCTATGTGCCAGTTTTTACTTTTAAGGAAGAAATGCTGGCATATGTTGTTGGCTAATAGATGTGTGGAGAAAAATAGTCATTAGGGAAAGCCTACAGAACAGGGTATTTTTAAAATGAACTTTTGTGTTGTGGGAAAACATATGTGCCCCACACAAGATCACCTACGCTCAATAATGAAATAAGACATATTTGTATAGGATGTATACTGCCTGTTGTACACAGATTTTAGTAACCATATGTCCCAATACACACACACATACCAAAACACCTCAAACTCCTGGGGAAAGATCCTCTGCTGGTGTAAATGGTCCCGGCTGCATTCACAGGCTGGGAGCTACTTCACAGATGCCTGCCGAGGATCTGCTCCGGCACCTGCCTGCTGCAGGAGCTCAGCTCTCTCCCTGGCTGCCTTTTGGCTCCAGGATCAGGCAGGTCATTAGCATGAATCAGTGCCTCCCACTAGCAGCTGCGTGGGAAGGAAAATAAAAATTCTGTCAAAGTAGGCATTGATACCAAACATCCTGGAGGAGCTCTGAGCTGAGCAAAGTGGGGAATGACTTAATAGCAGGAGGATTTGTCAAGGATGACAAAACAGTTTGGATCAGGCATTTATATCAGGTTCATTCTGGGAACAGAAAGGCGGTGCTTGCTGCCTGCCAGACTTAGTCCAAAGATGAGCCCCAAGACAACCCAGACGGCTGGTGCGCATGGGCAGGGGGCTTTGTGCCTGCAGCAGTGTGGGTCACCCCTCTGGGACACTGGTCCAGCTCAGCTGGAAAACACCCAAGCCAAAGTGTACACATCTCTAACAGACCTCAGGTGGGCTTTGGATCTGGGCCGTGCAGCAGGGAAACCCCTCGGGCACTGGCTGCCAAGTCCTCACCATGTCCTGTACTCCTCCTAGTTTGCAATGACTGATCAATTTTGGCCTTGCTTGTCATACCCTGTGGGGCTGATGTTATTCCCCACCTTCGACTTCATTCACACATTTCTCTTGAAAATCTTGTGGGATCTTGTAAGCCCACAGCTCCGAAGGGTGTTGTGGGTTTTAGGTGTTGTCCTAACCCAGGGCTCGGAATGCTGCTTCTCTGCTGTGAGCCAGGACACTTTCTTGAACAAGCAGAAGGAAAAAAACCCCTTGGATTCGTTCTGCAGTGAAAGGCACCAAATGCTGCAAAAAGCAGCCTCCTCATACTACCAGAGTGCACAGGGGGATGAACAGAGGTGACAGTGGGCTTGTGGGAAGCCCAAAACACAGGTACGGCTTCCCAGGAAGAGCCCTGGGACCATGCAGGACACACAGCTGCAGGGGCTCACGCTGGGAGACAGAGGGGAGGTGGGTGGAGGGAACAGAGGCTGCAGGGGGAACACGGGCTGTGGAGGGGACACCTCTGCTGCTTCAGGCAGGGTCATTGCAACAAGAGAAGCAACAAATGTGACTTGCACCCGTGCAACTGCCTTTGTAACAGGAATCAAGAGTCCCTGCTCTCCCTTCCGTGCAAATTGCCAGAGCTGCAGCAGCATGATTTATGGAAAGATGGGAAAATTCCCTCCTACAGCTCCTGAAGATGGCAGGAAGCAGAGGGCAGGAGGGCACCTGAGATCACCCTGCCAGGCAGCTCTGCCTGGGATCACACAGCCGGCCCCGCTGAGTGTCAAGTCGTACTTGGCCTAGAGCAAGGGAAAAACAACAACTCGGAGGGGTGTTTCCTTCTGCACAAAGGTGCCACTTGTAAGCCCTCCTGCCCAGAGCATGCACACAGCACGGGCAACAACTGGCAGGAGAGTTTCAAGGAGACTGTAACCCTGGGTGCATTTTTTTGCCCTGTGGCTAAATGTTCAGTGGTTACAGCTAAATCTGCTTTTGAAAGCTGAACCAAAGCAGCCCAGCTGTCTACTGAGCTCACGGTAGTGGAGCATGTTCAGGTACAAAGTGCTCCAGCATTGCCTGGTTCCTCGCCTCCAGGGAAACAGGTTATTTCCTGCCCTAAATAATGCAGTAGAGAGAAAATAAAATGATGGGGTGGGTCACAGAAGCAAACAAAGAAAATGGAGAGAAACCAACAGCAAAGGGCCTCTGAGAGGATGATCTGCGCTTCGCCAAGTGCTGAAACCACAGAAGCATCAAGGCTAAGGCAAGTGCAAGCCAGGCAGAGAAGAAAGCACTTCACCCCCTCAGAAGGAAACAGTTTCTCAGAGGCTATTGCACAGACTGGAGAGAAATGTACAGAACATGGGACATTTCCATGAGGGCCTCGTAATACTCTTGATACTTAAACATCCAGAAAAAACTGTTCTTTACCTGGAAAGAGCCATCATCTATCCACCCATAGATGGCCACTATTTCAGTCCTTTCAAGAGCAGCTAAGTAGATTTAGATGAAAACTAATGAGCCTCTGACTGTGCTTGTATGGCTTCTTTCAGTCACAGAAGGCAAAAAACCCCAAAACAACCCAAAAGGCAATAGGGCTGAAAATTCTTGAAATACTTGAAATTCAGGGAATAGCAACATGATAGGAGAAGGCAAATGTTTTGCATAGTAACAAATACCCAGACAGTGTAAACTCAGCATTGTATCAGGGGTCATGGCAGCAGCAAAGCTGGGACATGAACACTGGGATCAGACATGCTGGAACATTTGCACGGGAGTATTCATCCTTTTCTATATGTAGGGATAGGGCAGAGGGACAGTTAAGTCACTTCAAAAGCATTGGGCCCTTGGAGCAAGAGCATAGGTTGATTCATGTCTTTGACTTCAGAAGAGGTGAAAAATAACCACAGCGCAAGGCCTTTCTATATGTAACCACTACAACTATCCGAACTTAGATATCATCGATATAGATTCCCTACCATCCCAGGAGGGACTTTCAAGTTTCATGAACTGTTTGTTTTCTAGGAAGGCACCCCAAGCACATAATTTCTGGTTTTATTTGCAAAGGCTGCAGATTTCCTCTCCACCATTTTGCAACAAGTGTGGGGGCTCTGTCTGTGAAGGTGGTGAACCTAGAAGTGTTTTACAGTAGCACTTCCTGCCATGCAAAGAGAATCACTTTGGCCACCTATTTCCAAACTACATGCCAGGATGCCAGAGTATCACTCCCCTAAACAAGTGCTAAACTGAGAGTTATCCCCTATCCATTTTCCTTTGTAGGTAATTTACCCTTCCTCAAAACTTAGCCTCTCAATCACCTACTGTGCAAATCACCATGGACACAGGAATCAGACTTATACTCCAAAGAAACCACATACAGTTAAGAAAAAAACCCCTCTCCTCTAGACAAGACCTGCGTCAAATGTATCACCTGCTCCAAAGATGTTTATTCCAAGGGGCTCTGCCTTTACCCTTCCTTCTGTCTCAGTGTGAGACACATCTATTTTTGGCAGGCTTATTGGCATGAGCTGAATATTGTACCTGGAAGTGAGCAGTGCACAGAAGAACTACAGGTGCTCCCGACCGCAAGGGGTGCAAACTTCTCAAAAGACTGCGTGTTTCAGTAGTGCAGAGCTTACCACGTCCTCTGCAAGATGCCAGCCAAGATTTGTAGATGTGAGTCATAATCCAAATTTTTCAGCTGCATCCAGTCTGTTCTACCTACGTTGCTCTTTAAAATTGAACAGTTTCATGCTCTCCTCTGCCGGTATCTATCTTCATGCTCTTTCGGCAGCCGCCTATTCTGTTTTGTCATTGCTTGCATCTCATTTCCTAAAGGGTTGAAGAGTAATGAGTCCTCTTATCCCTTTTCTTGCTGCATCAGAAATTTCTAATACAAAAACTGGGATGTTAAAGGTGGTGGCTGCACAGCCCAAGAGCCCAGAGGAGCTGAAGCAGAAGCGTGACCTCTCCAGAGGCGCCTCACCTCCCGTCTAGCCCCCGGTGTGTAGAGAAGCAGCACAACCCCCCCCACAGTGGGACCCCAGATTAATTTCCTGCATGGACACGCACCTTCCAAACTAAGATTGCCTCATTCTGCCATCATTTAAACGCCTTAACAACAAATGAACTGATACTCCCTTGAATGTTTTCTAAAGCTCATTCAAAAAGCGGATAAAAAGATGGCAGCTCACATTTATTCAGGCCCCAGGAGGAGCACCCTGTGTGCAACCTTTCTCTTCACAGTCCCAAAAAGGGGCTCCAGGCAGATACCTCTCATTTGTGTGAGTGGGGAAGGCCATGTTTGGCTCTGGGGCTGATCTAGGGTCAGACTAGAGTCCCTTAGGACTTCTTTTCTCTTCCATCAAAACCCAGCAGGTATCTCTCAAACATCATCAGGAGGCCTCTCCTAAAGAACAGGAACCTCATATGACCAATTCATCACCAAAACTAATACAGCAACTGAAGGGGTTCAGATGCAGTCCTCTGACTCTCCCGCTCTCTCTTTCTGGGAGGTTATTTCCCTTAAAATAGCAGTTAAAAGGCTTTGCACAGCAACTCATATTTAACTGTGTGGAACAGCACAAATGCTAGCAAAAAATTATAAGCAACAACATCTGATTTGCACCGAAGACCTTTCTTTCTCCCTGTACATCCTCAGCAATAGCTCCCTACAACCGTCAGTATTAATGCCCTCATAGCCATGACAGATCTGTGGTGGTTAAGCAATGCGAGCTGGCAGGGAGAGGCTAATACCGTTACTGCAGTTATTGATAGCACACTCAAGAGCACGTTTGTTTTTTCCAGCTCTATCTATTGCTGAATTTCTCCACAATTTCTGCCCACAGGATGCTTTTGTCTGGATTCTGACAGACCAGCACCTGCAGATATATTTAGTACTACAGAAATGATGCTGGATTTTCATCTCAACCCCTTTTTTTCCCCTAGCACCATTAACTTGAGTAGCTGGGGGAGCAGCTAAGGGTCTGCTCCAATATTTTGCGTGCCCTCCAGCATATGTACAACACCCCTGCCATAAAAGCATGCAAGCAACAACATCAAGCAGAACCACCAAGAAGCCAGATGTATCAGTTTCATGACAACTCAAGGACAGCAACCTAAACCCAGACAGTCCCAGTATAAATCTATTTGCAAAGAGAGATTGCACCAAGCCCAAAGATCTTGGCCATAATTCGCAGCCAGCTGGGCCAGCAGGGCCTCTTCCTGCTCTTCCTGCAGTTAAAGTCAACAGCCAAATTTCCATTGCCTTTGCTGGAAACACCTGCAGAGCACAGCAGCTGTGCCAATCTGCCAGGGGCAGCAAGGCAGGAATAGCAGCCCCATGTGAAACTGCAGCAGGGAAGCTGACGTGCATGAAACACAAACACCCATGCTGGGATCTGGCCAGCACGGAAAGGGAACAGATGAGAGGTCTCAGCAGCTGGGCTGGCAGAGTGAGAGCTATCTCCAAATCGAAATGCTGAAGATCAAATGCTAAAACTGGCACAAGCAGTGTGGCTGTACTGGGGTAACCGCATGAGGTGGGAACCTCAATGTTGACCATTGAGATCCCAACTGTCCTTTCTTCTTTCTTC